CCAGCAAAAAGAGGTGTTTTTTTTTTTTTTTTTTTTTCCTGGTGGTTGTAGCAGAAGTTCTTGGGAGCGTTTCAGCTGGTTCTAGTTGTGCCATGGGCCCATTCTTGAACAACCCGTGGTAGCCAGAAGGATTCAGCGCACTGATTGGGCAACCTTGGATCCACCCAAACTGTGTCATTTGGTCCCTACATGGAAGAAAGGGAATGGAAGGAGGGGGCTTTGTTAGAAAAAGCTATCGTCAGATTGCAGTTTTATATTAACATAGGGACAGTCTATTTTAATAGAGATATAAACAAAGTGCTTTGATAGTACCCTCGAGGCAACAAATAATCCTAATTGTGTGGATCAAAGAAATCCTCACAGAGGCGACATTTAAACTGGGTCTTTCAAAAGTAAGATGGATATTAAAAAAGAGAGAAGAGAGGGAATATGCTTTAGGTGTTAGAAAAGTGTGTATGCCAAGACATACTCAAATTGTTCCAATTTGTGGCTCCCCTCCCCTCCCTCTCTCCCTTTCCCCTCCCCTCCCTCTCTCCCTTTCCCCTCCCCTCCCTCTACCCTCCCTTCCTCTCCCCTTCCCTCCCCACCCCAAGGTCTTGCTCTGTTGTCTAGGCTAGAGTGCAGTGGTGTCATCATAGCTCGCTGCAGCCTCCAACTCCTGGGCTCAAGTAATCCTCCTGCCTCAGCCTCTCAAGTAGCTGGAACTGCAGGTGTGCACTGTCAAGCCCAGCTAATTTTTCTTTTCTTTTCTTTTTTTTTTTTTGTAGAGATGGGGTTTTGCTAAGTTGCCTAGGCTGTTCTTGAACTCTTGGCCTCAAAAGATCCTCCTGCCTTAGTCCCAAAGTGCTAGGATTATAGGTATGAGGTATCATGCCAGGCCTGTCCTAATATGTGGTTTCTGTTTTCTTGGGTCTAGGTGATTTCAAAGTGTTCCATTTAAAACTATTGACATTTTTTTCTCCATTATCCGTTATCTCCTATTTATTTTATCTCAACAGATTTTAAAAGTCTTTTAGTATGGGGAACATATGTTTTATTTCTTTTGTCTCTTAACTGCAAAACACATTGCAGATATGCATGCTTTGGCTTACTGAATACTTGTTTTATTTTATTTTCTCACTAAAATCTGAAGGTGATCTCAGCTGTTTAGATCAGTTCTGTGTTCTCTATTGTTGTAACGGCCAAATGGTATACCTGATAGTATAATTTTCTCTTTCAGAATTACTTGATTCAGAATTTACCCATCAGTTATAGTGTTATATACAGTAGTTTTAGGTAGTGAGAGTGTTTGAGAATGCAACTAATACAGTGTTTGTGAAGAGTTGTAGTATTAGAGGAATTGTATCTGGAGAAAGTTCTGTTACAAACAAATGTAAAATGGGATTCTCTCTGTAGTTGGTAAATGGGATTCTCTCTGTAGTTGGTCTGGACTTCATAATGTTATGAGCTATATAATATAAAATCCTACTTCTGGCTGGAGGTAGTGGCTAATACCTGTAATCCCTACATTTTGGGAGGCTGAGGCAGGAGAATCACTTGAGCCAAGGAGTTCTAGGCAGCAGTGAGCTGTGATCATGCTACTGCACTCCAGCCTGGGCAACAGAGTGAGACCCTATCTCTAACATGGAAAAAATAAAAATCCCACTACCCATATATGGAACTTAAGTAATTTACATTATCTACTGTAAGAGTTCTCCATTGCTGTAGCAGGACATAGAATTCTTTGCTTTTTGTTAAAATGTACTCAGGCATTTACGCCTGGGCAGCCATAGTGATGTTTGGGAGTACTTTGAATACCAATTTGATTTTATAGAGTACTTTGGGCTTCAAGATAAATTAAAGAGAATCACCTCTCAAATATATGTCCACTCCCACTTGGAAAGCTTTTTATTTCACAGCTTCAATATTAAGATCAATTTCTTGGACTCTATTTTCTTTCATTCAACCAATATTTATTAAGTATCTACTGTGTCTCACACACAGCTTTAAGTGCTGAGGAAGCAGCAATGACTAAAACAAACCCAAACATCATTTTATTCATGGAGAAAACATTCCAGTGGGAGAAAACAGGTAGTTATAAATACATGAAGACTTGATGGTGAAAAGTGCTATGGAGAAAAATAAAGTGGGCCTTGGGGAGAGGGCAGGCTACAATTTGGCTGAGGGGGAGTGAGTGTTATGGTGGGTTTAAAGAGTGGTTGGGGAAGGTGACATTTGCATAAATAAGTGATGGACCGAGCTATGCAGATGTAAAAGAAAGATCAGTCGTGGTGGACAGAATATCCCAGAGGCCTTCTTTGAGTTTTGCTTTATTGATTGGCTTTTCTCAGCTAGACTATGGATATATATACTAAGAAATGTTATAGAAAATGAAATACGTATCAGTTGGAGTAAATACAGTTAAAGAGAAAAAATCATATGAACATGTTAGGTACTTGAGTTCTTTTCTTGACTTCGGACTTGTATTAAAAATATTTTTGTGTGGAGTGTGTGTGCATGTGTGTCCTGGGTGTGTGTGTATAAAGGTTTTTGTGGTTAAAAAAAATTTTTTTTTAACCAAGGTAGTTCTAGTAATTACATTGTGGAATGTTCTTACAGATGAAGTTGTAATTGGTACTTCAAGTTCAGCAGTCAGTCTATGTTTATTATGCTTTTGCTGTTAGTACTGTTCTGAGTAGGGCAAGATAGAAAAGTTTAAGACATTATGTTCTGATCAGAATGGCCAAACTGTCATCTGTACAGTTAACAGTAAACTCACCAGCATAGTTGAATGACAGTAGTTACTGGACTAGTAATTGGGACGTGTGTGTGTGTGTGTGTGTGTGTGTGTGTGTGTGTGTGTGTGTTTTAGTTTTGATTGTATTTTGTGACCTTGAGAAGGCAGCCATTCTTCTGGGGCTCTAATTGAGGCTGTACTGCTACTACTAATTGTGTGATCTTGAGTTTTATTCCAACACTACTGTTCTTTCTTTTACCCCCTACCTTCTAATCCCAAAGCTTACTTAATATAGTCATCCCTCAGTATCTGTGGAGGATTGGTTCCAGGACTCCCTGAGAATATCAAAATCCCATGGATGCTCCAGTCCCTTATATAACATGGTATAATACTTGCATATAACTTGTGCACATCCTCCTGTATACTGTAAGTCATCTTCAGATTATTTATGATACCTACTATAATATAAAAATGGTGTAAATAGTCGGTATATTGTTTAGGAAATGATGACAAGAAAAAAGTTTGTATGTGTTCAGTTATAGGTATACATATCCATTCAAAAAAAATATTTTTGATCTGTTGTTGGTTGACTCCACGGATGCGGAGCCTGCAGATATGGAGGTCCAACTGTGTTTAATGTCTCACACCTTTGACCTTGAGAAGCCAGCAAATAGAAGCCTGGGGTTATTTTATTTAGTTATTAGGAGGAGAATGTTCACAAATGAGGCCTTGAACCTTTTGGGAAAAACCCTGATTCTGTTTGTTATAAGGTCCCATGTTATGAAAGCAGGACATACTTGTTAATAAAAGATAATTTAATTGCCAGTAGTCCTGGAGGCTGAGGTGGGCGGATTAATTGAGGCCAGGAGTTTGAGGCTGCAGTAAGCTGTCCACTGTATTTCCAGCCTGGGCAACAGATAGAGACTCTGTCTCTTTAAAAAAAAAAATCATTGGAATGTCTTATGTCAAAAAACTACCTGGATATTCAATGTTCTAATAATAATGAACTGACTGGTAGCCCCCTGATGCCAAATATTGCAGTGGTTTCTGTGAACTGTTTTCTGGTGTTGATGTTCTCAGGGTTGTGTATTATCAGTTACCTGTTAGGGTCTTCCTACTCAAAGCAGAGGCTGTAAAGTGCGGCTAATCTAAAAGTAATACAGTTTTCTGATTTGTTACTCTGTACAAAAAATAATAAATGTGGTTTTCTTTAGACAATTGGTGCTTTATTTTCAATTATGTGAGTAACTTATTGAAAGCTGCATACTTGTCATATCTTTTTAAAACAAGTATATAGTAAACTTACACACATTTGTGATACAGCTGTCAACAATATATCTTGAGGATTAAAGATTTAATGCAAAATTTTTGAATTGCTGAAAATAGTATTAGACTACTGTTTGTACTCTAAGAAGGATTTTTCCCCCTTTGAACTGTAAGAATGATGTTAATAAATAATAACAATAAAAATACCTTAAATCTTCAAAGTTATACTTCCTTAGTGCTTTGGCTTATACAGGTTCCCGAAGTCCTGAATATATGTTTCCACTGGCCATTCAATAAATAAGATTACTGTTCAGCATTGTGGATTTGGCTAAATATCTTCTCAAAGTCACAGAGCGACTTTACATGCCATTTCACTTCTACAGCTTGGACCAAATTCCTGGCATCAGCCAGAGAGATTCCCCTTTTGGAGTGTCAGAGAGGGCCTAGTTTTGATTTCATACAGGTTCAAAGTGCTTGAGAAGACTGTTTGCATTGCATAGTGATTCCAGAACTGTAGTTAGGCAAACAAGTTACTGAAAACAAATATGATGTATTGATTTTTCTACTGTGGAAGCATGGTGTGCTATGGAATGTCATGTAATATTTGATTTTCATTATTGGGTGTAAATAAACTGAATCCTTTGATATACATACTACATTAGGATGGCACTGTTCACCTTGAAAACTAATAGTCTCTTTCCTTATCTTAATAATATAATGTACTGAAGTCTTATAAATTTGTATTACCAGCTGGTTGAATTAGCTTTTTTTTCCTCTCTGAGGAATAGATTTTATATTTTACTTATCTTAATTGTTAGACATGGGACAAAGGCATTGTCTCCTCATCTTTAGAAATATGTATGTGTAATCATTTTATTGCATGTACACTGATCAACATATCAAATGTCAAAGCCCAGATCTCCTTTTAAGCTGTTATTTGCTTTATAAAATCTTTCTCCTGCTTCTTTCAACATTCATTAACTGAGCTGATCTACTTTGTCTATCTACTTTGTTCCAGACATCTTACTAACTCTTTTGGATTCAGTGATGAAGAAGAAATTTTTCTTGCCTTCATAAAGGTAAAAGTATGAACAATGAGAGATAGTTAACAAGGAATTATGTATTGGTCTATGATGGATTGCACCACATACACAACTGTGGTCCCATGACATTATAACGGAGCTGAAAGAGTCTTACTGCCTAATGATGTTGTACCCATTGCAATGTCATAGCATAGCACATTACTCCCCTGTTTGTGCTAATGCTGCTGTACAAGGTCCTACTGTGCTGTCAGTTGTATAGGACATGCAATTATGGATGATATATAATACTTGATAATTATAAACAACTATTTTACTTGTTTATGTATTTACTATACTTTTAATCATTATTTTAGAGTGTATGCCTACTTATAAAAAATGTTAAGTATAAAATAACCTGGGGTAGGTCCCCTAGGAGGTATTTGAGAAAAAGGCGGCATTATCATCACAGGAGATGACAGCTCCATTTATGTTACTGCCCCTGAAGACCTTCTAGTGGGACAATATCTGGAGGAGGAAGACAGTGATATTGATGATCCTGACCCTGACCCTGTGTAGGCCTAGTCTAATATGGGTGTTTGTGTCTTAGTTTTTGTTTGTTTGTTTGTTTTTGAGATAAGGTCTTGCTCTGGCACCTGGGCTGGCATTTAGTGCATAGCTCACTGCAGCCTTAAACTCTTGGGCTCAAGTGGGCCTCCTGCCTCAGCTTCCCAAGTAGCTGGGGACTACAGGCGTGTGCCACTACACCCAACTAATCTTTCTATTTTTTGTAGAGACAGAATCTTGCTATGTTGCTCAGACTGGTCCTGAACTCCTGGCCTCAAACGGTCCTTCCATCTTTGCTTCCGAAAGTACTGAGATTACAGGCATGAGCCACAGTGCCTGGCCTGTATCTTAGTTTTTAACAAAAAAGTTTAAAAAAGGAAATAAAAAAAAAAACAACCATAAAGCTTATAGAATAAGGATATAAAGAAAGAAAATATATTTGTATAGGTGTACAATGTGTTTTTAAGCTAAGTGGTATTACAAAAGAGTCAAAAGTTTAAAAAAATTAAGTTTTATAGAGTAAAAAAAGTTACAGTAAGCTAAGGTTCATTTATTACTGAAGAAAGAAAAAAATTTTCAATAAATTTAATGTAGCCCTAGTACACAGATTGGATTTGTCATTTACAAAGATCACAGTGGTTGCAGTCAAGAAAAGAACACATCTGAGGTAGAAAGTCTAAGGCTGTGATGGCAATAACGTAAGAGATGTCGTGAGCCAGGACTGGAGCATTTCACACTGGAATGGAGTGAAGTGGGAGGATTCAAGAAATACGTAGAAGATAGAACCTACAGGACTTGGTTATTGAGGGAAGAATCAAGAATACTCCTAGGTTCCTGGCTTGGGTAACTGATAGATAATGGTGTTTGTACCAATTACTGATTTATTGCCCCTCACCTCCAAGCATGTCCTTTACTTCTGCTCTGTGAAAATGGGTCTGGACCCTTTGCCTCTGCCAGCTGGCCTGATGTTAAGCTTTGGCAGTAGAGGGTGTGGAGAGAGAGTGAAGGAAGAAAGAGCTTTACTTGCTGGTTCCAGTGTGCTTGCTGGGCAGGCTGCTGTGGCATGTGGGGCTTCTCCAGTGCCCGGGCTCTTGCCGCTCTCAGCAGCCAGCAGCACTCCCCCAACCCAGGCAGGTTCACAGCTGAGTGCCTCCAGTGAGACACTTCCTCACAAACAACGTTCCTTGGCATTCTAGAGGACGATGCATGGCAAGTTTCAGAGGGTGTGTTTTCTGAAGTTCTGCTGAGTGTGAGGCCTCTGCAGCAAGGTTTGGATCTCAGCCCTAGGGTTGAGGAAACTCTTCCCTGGGTACACTTTCTCTACCCTAAGGGCAGTAGTGAATTTATGTTATGTTGTATAATAATATATTTGCTGCTATGTTTTATATCATATATTGCTATGTTCTTTAGAGTTCTTTTTACTTCTTACTAGCCAATTTCTCATTACTCCAGTCACCTGTTATAGTTAGAGATTTTTCGTATTTCCTTGTTCAAATTACTGTGTGGTTTCTCTCTCCTGACTGGACTCAATGCTGTTTGGATATAGTGCTCTGATAATATCACAGAAAAGGTACATTTAGGGGAGAGAGACAATGAATTTAGTTTGGGACATGATCAATTTTAAGTACAGAAGAGCCATATGGAGATATCCAAGAGCTTGTTATTATATATGAGTTTGGAGTGAGCTCTGGACTGAAGACCTGGATTGGAGATTGCCCAGGAAGAGTGAGAGGAAAGAAATGACAATATGGTCCAGGATAGAGTCCTGTAAGTCACAGCCTATTCAGATAAAGAGGAGTCCCCTAAGGCTGAGGAAGCCTGATTGGAGTGATGTATTGTTCGTAATATTAATATGTTGTTCAAGGGTTGTTGTGAGGGTGAAATGAGTGAATGTATATAAAGCACCAAGCACAATGTCTGGCACCTAAGCCCTTAGTAAACATGATTACGAACGGAGCCATTGTTGGAGTGCTGGGCACTGTGGTGGGGTCAGAGACAGAAAGATGACCAGGACTGCAGGCTTCACCCTGAGGGATAGGGAGTGGGAAGACAGTCATTAAGTATATTAGAGTGTGTGGCAGGTGTTAGAGGAAAGGCATGAATAAAGTGCCAGGAACTTCTGCCTTAGAGATTCTGATCAGGGATTCCAGAGGAGGTAAGGCTGAGCTGGATCATGAAGGGGTGCAAGTTTGCCCCTTGGAGAAAGGGTTTTCTGAACAGAGGGAACAGCATTAGCAGAGGAAGGACAAGAGTACTTGACAGGCCACTCCCACAGTGGGGTTGTGGCTTGCCCCTTGACTTTGAGGTGGGACATAAATTGGACACACTTTCTAAATAGTTGTTTACTCCACATCCTTATGTTCTGTCTCTCTCATACCTAGATTTGTATCTTGCTTAGTAGCTTTTAAAAAAATTTCTGCAGAACAACTGTTAGTTAATAACAATCTAAAATGATTCAAAACTTTTATTTAGTGTCAGTATTTTAAAGTTTCATTCAATATGAGGTTTTAGTGTTGTAGGTTGAAGTGTTCTAGGAGAAAAGTTGAAATGTACTGCACATAGTACCACTTTATAGGGTTTTACTCTCAGGATTGAGTAATTTTTGCATAGTTACTGGACATTGATAAAGCTCAGAACTGTTTATGGTTCGTATGAGTTCTCTTCACCTTATAATTCTTTTTAAAAGGTTCAGTGACTGAAGAAATGGAAATTATTCAATTGTATGACTGTTCTCTCAATAACTCATGTTTTTGGAGATTTAGGAAATAAATGTGATAAACTTTTGATTCCTTGGGGGGAAAAAGTGTCAATTCAGCCTTAAATTCTCTGTGATTTCTTCTGTGTGACTGGAAATCTTTTTTTTTTTTTTTTCTCCTTTTTTTCTTTGTCTAGAAGGCAAACTCCTACCCCTCCTTGAATATACAGCCCACTTGTCCGTTTTCTGGTCTTTCTCAAATTTTCTGAATTTGTTCTTACCCAAGAGCTGTCCTAAGATAAATCTGTTGTAATGCTGACATGCTTTCACTGAAGAAAGCATGTATGTGTGTATGTCTATGTGTGTGTATGCTGTGTATGCATGAAATATTTCCAGAAAGTATAAACAAGAAGCTGAAGCTGATAAAAGTGTGTGTGTGTGGCGCACCCCTCTTCAGCACCATGTATATTATGAATTTAAAAAAAAGCCTGTTGTGTGCTTATATTAATTGCTGGAAATTTTAAGTGCCTCCCTGAAATTTTCAAGATGTCAGCCTTGTAGCCTTAGATTTTAGGTGGTAACAAACAAAAACTGCAGCTGAATAGCTAAGGCTTGAATTCTTATTTTCATATTTATATGTGGTATAAATTTTACTGTCAATAAAGCAAAGATGATAATAGAGTTATTAAGAGGTTTAAGTTAGTCCATGAAAAGTGCCAAATATAACATAGTGGATGGTACACATAAATATTAGGTATTATCATCAAGAAACATACAGTTTTATAAGAGAGGCAAAGAATAAATACATCTTTTCTATGGGTGTGTCTATGGGGGGTACAGTAAGTAAAAGGGAAACCAGAGAAGGCTGTATAAAGAAGGGACCTTTGAGAAGTTCAGAAGGATGATGGAGAGAGAAGTTAAGGAAGGCCATTCCAGAAAGAAAGAGTCCTTTTTTATAAGGTGTAAAAGTATAAAACAATGTGGATGAGTTGGAAAATTCTAGTACTGCGTAATGGTTTGTAGCAGTTTAGGTTATGAAAGATGAAATGGCAGATGATGATAGGTAACATTTATTGAGCACTTAGGCAAGGTAGTATTCTAAGTGGGTTTGTGATTTAATGTATTAAATCCCTATAGTAACCACGATATTGATACTGTAATTACGCTATCAATAGGAGACTGAGGAAGGGAGGTTAAGTAACTTGTTCAAGGTCATGTAAATCAGGCCCATGTTTATGTGTACCCATTACGATGTCTGATGAGACTAGGAGGCAGTAATAGCCCAGACCTTGAACACTGTATAGATTTACATCCATAAGCTTTGGGAAGCCATTAGAGGATTTTAAGCAGTAAAGTGAAACCCTCAGATTTGTACTCTAGGATCACCAATAATGGCTTAGGGACGATGATGAAAGTCTCGCTATCCCTTCCTTCCTATCCCTTCTCCTTCCACCCCATCTCCTTTATGTCCTGAAGAAAATGTACAATTAATTGTAAATTTTAAGAAAAGTAGAAAAGCTCTTTAAACTTTCTTCACTTTGTAATTAATTTGGACACATTTTCAGGACTTCAGCTGTATCAAAATAAAAGCAAGAGGAAATAACACAATTCTATTATTACATACATATTTTGGAATAAGCTCCTCTCTTAATTGTATATTGCTGGGTAACAATACCCCAAAACAACAGCATAAAACAACATTCAGCATTTATTATCCCACACACTTTTTGTGGGTCAAAAATTTGGGAGTAACTTACCCGGTGGTTCTGGCTTGGAATGTTTTCTCAGGTTGCAGTCA